TCTTCTCATCCACCTTTTGAAGGCTGCTTTTGTTAATGGAACACGCTGGTTCTCCATCAGGCCTTGTTCTGTTGCTGATGAGGAACTGTGATCCCCTGTAGAGGGAGAGGCGTTCTGATTTTGGGTATTCTCAGCCTTTTTAGGCTGGTTTCTTCCCTTCATTATAGATTTATCCATCTGTGGCCTTTATAATTACCGTCTTTATAATTGGGTTTCTGAGTGGACATCCAACTTGTTGATTCCCAGCCCTAAAATCTGAACAACCCACTGTGCTGGTCAAAACCGCGGCGTTAAGATTGATGGTGCTTTCCTGACTCTGCACCAAGAACCGCTGCACCAAGGCAGTGGCAAAACCGCCTCGCCGGCCACAAGAGTCACGCTGGCGACCCGTGGGGCTCCTCCGCTGGGAATCTCCTGGTGCGTGAGCAACAAAACTTCATCTGAAAGTGTGGCGTCCTCTCGTTCTCTGCGCTTTCACTGGGAGCTACAATCCCGAGCTGCTAGTGATCAGCCATCTTGGATCTCTCTCCATTTTTCTTAATGATATAGAGTTGGTCATCTTGATTGTGAATAGTTGGTAAAGGCTTTTTTTCTGCCACATACGGGAAGAAGGAGCAATCCAATTCTAAGCATTCTCTCAGGAGTGAACAGGAATAGCGGCTGGTGCACAGCCCCTGAAGGATGACGTTATTTATGACAACTTAGCCAATTACCAATGTGTCTCCTAATATATTCCCTTTTAGCAAGTTGTTTGTTTATTTTTCAGTATAGCTTATTAGTAGGGAAACTAGGGATGATATTTTGAGAGCCAGGTTGAAAAGCAGAGACGTGTACATTAGTTGTGAGGTTAAAAAAAATGTTGATTCATTCCCAGATAGATTACTTAGATTATTAAGCGAGAACTATATTTGAAATTTGATAAGTGTTTCAATATTACATTTGGTTATCTTTTGTGATTAGTTTCAAAGAGTTGTTTGAAAGCTCGAGAACATTTTGGTACAGTAAAAGCACATCTAATGTCTTGGAAGACCAAGTTTCCTGCTGAACAGTATTGCAGGTTTGTAAGAAAAATAGCATTTTATAATGTTAAGTAAAAAAAAGGAGAAAAATTATATGTACCAAATGATTGCTTACAACTAGGTAAACATCCTAATGTGT